CTTGGGCTATTTGCTCATACATTGGGTTCATCAGTAGCCTGTTTAGGATTGCAAGTGTGAACCAATTTTCAGCCATTTGAGTAATCTGCCGTCATGAATTTTTTTCTCTTTTATTATTTTTGTAATGTGTTATTTTAATTTACTACTTACAATAATGTGACGTTATTAATGCGGCTTTATTTGGGAATAGTTAATTTAACTAAGATTCTTTATGTGCAATTTGCTGAAACCTAGATGCATAAGAAATTATAAAGTAGAGAAGAATGATGATTTCAATTCAATATTTGTTCCGGGAAACTCTTGTAACATTGTATTATTGTTTTGTACTTCAGGCAAAGGAAATTTGGAAGAGGTTGACGACGTCGTTCTATTAGAAGACGAAAATGACAACATTTTGGAAAGTGCAAAATTCGTCGATGATGGAATTGTAGGAGTGGACAGTGTCATTGTGCCCGAGGTGGGTATGAAATTCAATGATGAAAATGAAATGTTTAATTTTTATAAAAGATATGCGTACGACATAAGATTTCCAGTTAGAAAAAGAAATTCGCAAAAGGATGATGATGGCGTTGTGAGATATGTAGTGTTGACATGCAGCAGTGATGGCCGAAGAAGTAGTACTTCGAGTAGTTCTTTGAAGCCGCAAGCTAAATCATGCTTACATGATGTTTGCTACGAGGTTCCATCGGAGGCGATTGATGGCGTCAGAGAGTACAGGATCTTGCGATGCACGGTGGAGCCTCCGTCTTACAGCTAACAAAAAGAAAAAAAAAAAAACCAACCGTGTGATTAACCAAAAGTGGGCAACCCAAAGATGGAGACGGCTGCTACATTAACAATCGGCTTCGTATTTCGATTGAGGTGGAGGATTGCAGGAAATCGAAGAAAGTTCTCCCATTTTCACCACCAAGGGTTTCTGTTCTGATTTAGGGGAGAAGACGTGAAGTGGGTGTTTTAATATTGGGCTGGGCTGGTTTTCAAAAATTTGACCCGGTTAGATTGTTTTAAATTCTTTTCATTTCTTGACGAATCAACAATTGGCACGTCACCGTGTCAAGTGCCGTGTAAGCTACCGGGTATGAATAGCGCGATCGAAAAAATAATTAGATGCGCGGAAAGAATCAGGCAAATGTTGGGTGTTTCAAAATTGTTGTACATTTCAAAATCCAATTTTGAATCATTGGTAAATAAAAGTAAATCATTGATGTGTATGTATGCGATTATTAAAATTGGACAATAATTATAATTATGTTTTTTTCATATTATTTGTTATGCTTCGTCGTTGAGACTCCCACATGAAGTTTGTAATACTCCAAAATTTCATAAGTACTGGAGTGTTATAAAAATTCAATTTTCTTTACGTTAAAAGCGAAAACTATACAAATAAAAACGTGAATTTATTTCCAACAATAAATATCAACTAAAACATGGAATCTAAATTTCTAAAAAAAATTAAATACAATTAGTTAATTAATTAATAAACGTGTCTTTGAACAAATAAACAATCTAATAAATTGAGAGATAAAAAAAAATTAATATTTTTATTTCTTCAATTCCTCTTAACAGCCCGCATTACCATCTCGTCACAGTTCCAATTGAAACGGACTAACTTGTAAATTTTTTTTTGGTAAGAGTGAGTAATTAAAAATACTCAGTAAAATACGTGTAGTTTTCATACACAATTATATAATAATAAAATAATAAACACTTCATACCACTATTCTCTTATAAAGTATATCAGTGATCAAGCGATACACATATTAAGTCATCTTAAATTCTTAAAGGATATCATATTTTTTAATAAAGAACCCGAAGATTCACTGACAATTCATGCATAAATTACTAAATATAAAAGTATAAGAAAACAAATCAAGGACAATACTACAAGTACATAATTATTTACATAATACATTATATAATTGACATGTGGCGCGCATCCATCGGTAGTTTATAATTTTTGACTTTTCCACACTTTACATCTACGGCCGGATTTCTTCCACATGGGCCTATGTAATCCATTATGTACAATAAATATGTACATATAGATTTATCGACAAATCAATTGCACAAAAGTATCTTTGATTTTAAAGGTTGCAAGAATAAAATCTTGCACGTAAAAATGAATTTGGATAAGAATTGATTTCAA